GTTGCATTGACCATATTATCTATACTGAAGAGCTTAAAGTCGGTGTTTAATATTCTACACTAGTTATGTTGCATTGACCATCTTATCTATACTGAAGAGCTTAAAGTCGGTGTTTAATATTCTACACTAGTTATGTTGCATTGACCATCTTATCTATACTGAAGAGCTTAAAGTCGGTGTTTAATATTCTACACTAGTTATGTTGCATTGACCATATTATCTATACTGAAGAGCTTAAAGTCGGTGTTATACCTATATATTGACAAGTGCTATTAATGAACTTTATGAATTCAATTAAAAACGTTACAATATAAATTAATTTATTACATAGATTAAGAAGATATTGTAGCAGCACATGTCTGTTGGTCCGAAATAACTGTGTTTTATTTGCACATATTCTGTAATAAAAACAGAAAGTGAGCAATTGATCTTGTTTACAGATCAATAACTTTAATAATGCCACAATGAATCATTCTTGTTGAAAAAACTACTTTTAATTTAATGCGTAACAATACAAAAAAACGGTATTCCATAAAATGGAAACACATCCATAAAGAAAACTAGCTGCGATCATTTATTAAAGGTAGATATGGAGGACGTTTCAAGATAACCAGAATTTAGTTGTATTAATACGATATTCTTATCTTAGTACCGATTTCCAGTAGCCTGGTGATTAAATTTGTAAATTTCATTGAGTGGATTTGATTGTAGTTTACCACTCACTATCTTTAGAAAGGTAACTGGAGTCTAATCCTTTAACAGATTTCTGCATTTTACTGCTCAAGATTACCTAAAATCGAAAAATGTGGAAAGTCGTAATGAAAGGTATTAAACCTGTAGGGTTGTTGGTGTTGTTTTTTTCTTTAGCGCTATGTTACACAATGAACTACCTGCGCTCCGTCCACCGCAGTGAATCGAACTCCGCCTCTTACCGCTTATACACTGAGGACGAAAAACAAACCAGACTGATCATTTAGTTTTTGGTGGTCCCTGCATTTTCTTCTGTATTTTTCTTTTCTTAATACCTTGGAATTCCATCTTTAGAGATGAGTTGTTTTGTTTTGTTTTAAAGCAAAGAAGACTAGAAAAAAGTTCTGAGTACAGTAATCTTAACAAGATCATTAGCATTATAAAAAAAAATTGGTTATATGAAAATTTTAATGCATTAACGTGCATTGTGATCATCCTAAATCATTACAACGGTGAGGTTCTGAAAAAAAAAAAAGATTATTGCAAAACGTTCCAAGAATTTAATTGGTTGATGTGATCCATTGTGGAAGATGAATAAACGGAATTTCGTTTATCTCGGCTTGCAGCACGTTCGTCCAATAGAGATCCAGGGCTTGTTGAAAAACTGGGGTGAAACTATCAGGATATAAGATAAGAAAGATATTTACAAGACTACAGGTAGAGTTATCACAGCCGGACACATCTGTCGTTACTTGCCCTGTGCTTGAAACCTCCATCTTGGAAATTGTCGAATTCTCTTGGCAACCAAAGTTCAGTTGACTTTCGCTTATAACGTCAATAAATGGGACTTGAAAACTTAGGTTTGCGGAGACGGTGCGGATGAAAAAACTTCGGCTACAAGTACAGTTTACTGTGACATTTCCGAGTAGTTTGAGTTGGTTCAATGCCAAACAGGAGTTACCACCACAAGATGTAAACGGTGTGGCCACTTGCATGAGGTTATTCAAACCATAAGCTCTACAGTTGCTGCAGGTGAACTCGGCCATCTTGGAAGGGACTTCAAAGCAGCAGAATGTCCCATTGGAACTGCTTTGGACCTTCTTTAATAGGAAATGCTGATACTTATTAATGAGATTTTCCATCAAATTCTGGGCATTCATAGATCCATTTCTTACGCTGTTATTTTGGTTCGCCTGGCTGTCTAGATATGAATCAATATATAAATTATAGATTATTAAAATGTGAAATAAACAATATCGTTGGTTAGAATAAAAATACTAGAGTCACGGTAAACGTAATTTTACTGTATACGTTAATAAAATATTGACCTGTATTATCTTTACGTAATTTTACTGTATACCTTAATAAAATATTGACCTGCATTATCTTTACGTAATTTTAGTGTATACGTTATAGAATATTAACTTATATTATCTTTACGTAATTTTACTGTATACGTTATAAAATATTGACCTGTATTATCTTTACGTAATTTTACTGTATACGTTATAAAATATTGACTGTATTATCTTTACGTAATTTTACTGTATACGTTAATAAAATATTGACCTGTATTATCTTTACGTAATTTTACTGTATACGTTAATAAAATATTGATCTGTATTATCTTTACGTAATTTTACTGTATACGTTAATAAAATATTGACCTGTATTATCTTTACGTAATTTTACTGTATATGTTATAAAACAATGACCTGTATTATCTTTACGTAATTTTACTGTATACGTTATAAAATATTGACCTATATTATTTTTACGTAATTTTACTGTATACGTTATATTGACCTGTATTATCTTTACGTAATTTACTGTATACGTTATAAAATATTGACCTGTATTATCTTTACGTAATTTTACTGTATACGTTATATTGACCTGTATTATCTTTACGTAATTTACTGTATACGTTATAAAATATTGACCTGGATTATCTTTACGTAATTTTACTGTATACGTTATATTGACCTATATTATTTTTACGTAATTTTACTGTATACGTTATAAAATATTGGCCTATATTATTTTTACGTAATTTTACTGTATACGTTATATTGACCTGTATTATCTTTACGTAATTTACTGTATACGTTATAAAATATTGACCTGGATTATCTTTACGTAATTTTACTGTATACGTTATATTGACCTATATTATTTTTACGTAATTTTACTGTATACGTTATATTGACCTGTATTATCTTTACGTAATTTACTGTATACGTTATAAAATATTGACCTGTATTATCTTTACGTAATTTTACTGTATACGTTATAAAATATTGACCTATATTATTTTTACGTAATTTTACTGTATACGTTATAAATATTGGTCTATATTATTTTTACGTAATTTTACTGTATACGTTATAAAATATTGACCTATATTATTTTTACGTAATTTTACTGTATACGTTATATTGACCTGTATTATCTTTACGTAATTTACTGTATACGTTATAAAATATTGACCTGTATTATCTTTACGTAATTTTACTGTATACGTTATATTGACCTATATTATTTTACGTAATTTTACAGTATACGTTATAAATATTGGCCTATATTAATTTTTACGGTAATTTTACCTGTATACGTTATATTGACCTATATTA